CGCTTAGGTTCCTCCCCAATACCCTGAGTGGACAGCATCAGTGGGAACCCGAGAAGACAAATCAGCAGGGTTTAGGGACACAGAGCATGGGGTACAGCCTGGAGAAAGACAGAGAAAGGCTTCTCCAGGAGTAATGTATCTAGACTGAGGTGGGGAGTAGAGAGAAGTCTCTGGAGTTGATCCAATGGAGAGAACTGGGATGGATTGGGGGCTCTGACAGGGATGGGCTGAACGGACGGTGCTGGTTTGTGGACCTCAGAGTTGAAGGCCATGGCCTCCCAGTCAGGGGAGCAGAGTCAACAGTGTGTGACCTGTGTCAGCAGGAGGGATACACTAGTAAGTCCCTCTGAGGGGAAGGAGAAGGGCAGGCACTGGAGAAGGAACTAGGAGAACCTTTGTCTTAGGAGAGAAGTTAAGGGCTTAGGTATTCTCTCCACTCCAGAATTAAGGAGTACAGATGGCTGGTGCTGTCCTTTAGGACAGAGATGATGGCTTCTTCATTTCTGCATCCTTAGTGCCTAACACCAAGCTTGGCACACAGTCCAACATACTGTTGAATGAGTGAAGGAGAAAATGCATGATTGAGGGTGAAGACAAAAATAGTTCATGCTCTACCTTTTCTTCTTTCTCTTCGTATGATCAAAATAATTAGCACCAGTGCAATGAAACAGAGCAGGGTGAGTGACAACAGGAGTTTGAGGATCACAGTGGTATCCAGGCCACCAGCAGCACCTTTAAAGAGAGAATGGGTGGAGGCACAGGGCAGGGAGAAGAGTCAGCTAGGGAAAATGACCCAACTTTTGGAGCAATTGCAACCTTCCTCCCAGTCTGATGACTTCCCCAGGGCTTCCAGTTTTCACAAAGGGCTTGTTCCCATGGGGGACCAGGAGCTGAAGAAGATATAGGTCCTAAGACCAGGGGCTCCTGGAGAAAGAGGAGAGACAGTCACCTTCACAGAGCTTCCAGGCAAAGATGGGGTTTGAGGAGTTGCTGCTGATGGGGTTTCTGGCCATGCAAATGAAGGTCATATCCCTTTTCTCCTGCCTCCAGGATATGGGGAGGGTGGAGCCACTATGGGACTCATTGGTCGCCTGTCCCAGGGACTTCCAGCTGTAAGTTACATCCTCTCCTCCCTGTTCCATGGAACATGTCAGATTGGTTACACATGTGCCATTCTTATTGTTCTGCAGACCTATGATGACTTTGGGCTTTGACAGGTGCTCTGTAAAAGAGAAATAGACAACCAAGTGTGGAAACTATGCCCACAGCCCTCATTTTTTCTGCATTATTCTTGTAAACCTTGGACCTGAATCTCCCTGGTGTGCTACAGAGTGGAGAGGAAGTAGCAATTCAGAGCAGAATTCTCATTCTTATCTGGGGAAGAGAACTATCTAGGTCATATTGCCCACAGCCATAAAACAACAACAGTAGTAATAGAAATAATTACAATGCAACAAGAATGAGCTGCCATTTATGGTAAGCACTGTGGTAAGCACTATGGTAAGCATATGGTAAGCACTGTGTTAAAAGCATTTTAGATGTTCATTAGTTTTATCTTTTTTGGAGGCTCCCTATTCCCCTGTCCTCAGGCTTCCTTGAAGAGACTCACTTTACTCTCTAGGAGAGAACAAAGGTATTGGAGCAACACTTCTGGTTCCCCTCTCGACCTTGTGCTCACTCTTTCAGAGGATGAGCAATTGTTTCGTTGCTGAGATGGTGAGTCTGACATCCCTCATCTACATTTCTCTATTTACATGTTTGGGCTGTTATGATTGCTGTTTAAATGTGGTTTGCCCTCCCCCCTCCCCCCACCCCTGCTAGTTTGCCTGCAGAATGCATGTCTTCCATTCTTTTCAACTATATCTATATGGAGGACACACCTGGATCAAGGTGCATGGTCTACCTCCTACATGCAAACCTGCAGGCCCATCTCCTGGTATCCCTGATATTGCAGCTCAGTGAGAAAGGCAGCTATTCTTTTAGCTGGTTGAGTAATTGTTTCATAAGTTCATTTTCCCTGAATAGGCACCAAAGTCTAGACTTCGGGGAAAGTATTTTTATTATCCAGGTTTACCAGAAAAAATAAAGCTGATATTTTTATCTTCCTTTCTGATTCTTGTGTCTATTTCTCATTTGGTTAGAATCTTCACGGGAAGAGGTGTGATTGATAGTTATACCTGATAATCTTTCTAAGATAGGTATCACTTTACTCCCCATTACAGATATGGAAACTAAGTTTCAAAGAGATCAAGTAACTTGTCTAAGGCCATGTAACTAGTAAGTAGAGAAGCCAACGTTTGACCTGCGTGATTGTCACTTCTCATAAAGCCTATCTGCTGCACCACAATCCTTCTTACTGAATATCTAAGAGGGGACTTCAAGGGTTGGCTATATCTACTTCATCCATGCATGAGTTCCCTGTTCCACTTTATTGCCAAGGGTTTATCCAGCCTTTGTCTGAACAGCTCCAATATCAGGGAGTTCACCATTTTAAGAAGGCAGTCATCCACCTTTAGAACTGGTTCTGCTCACCATAGACACGCAGCTCATACTCCTGGGTTAGGGGATCCTGGAGGGTTGAGCTGTGTATCTCCACACGGTAGACACCTGAGTCATTCTTCTTCAGTTTGCTGAGCTTCAGGGAGTAGCCTTCATGCGGGAAATTCACCCTTTCCTTGTTACGATGTTGGGTCACTATGATAAGGGCTTTTTTGTCTGCCAACTTTGGCTGTATGGTGACGAGAGTGGTTGTGTTGAAGACCCAGATAATGCTGTCAATTGGATCTACTGAGAGATTCAGTGGGAAATTCACAGACCCACCAAGGGCACCAACTAGCTTCTTCAGTACTCCAGAGGCGGCTGGCCCTGCAGAAACAGAGAGCCATAAAATAAACCTGAGTTCCTGACCTTGCCACCAATTACTCACTCCCTTTGGGTCCTGGAAAGGTCCCAAGAAACCCTCTCAGTCAAACCCAACCAGTCCTGGGAAACCCTTTGGAACCTCACTCACACAAAGGCACTGAGGTCAGAACTCTCTGCCTGAAAGGGGTGACTACAGGCAAACCCACCCCATTCCCAGAGATCTCTGGCTGAAAAGACCAAGCTCTGAGGTAGACCATGAGGTCGGCTGCATCCTCGACAAGTTCCTGTGGGGTGATAAGTGGGGAGGTTACTGTCCAAGCTCCATTTAGGACTCCCAGATTGCTCCTGGGAGAGCTGATTTTGCTGCAAATGAAGAAGGTAACAGTCTATCTGACCTGGGACAGAGGTTCTTAAGCACAAACCAGGGCACTGGGAGGCAAGCTGTAAGTCTTTAAAGATAGTGATAGCTTAGAAGTTTGAGGATGATTTATCTTTCTATTTTATGGTGGATGGGAGTGAATTCAAGCTCATCCCCAAATGAGGTTCTCATCCACTTGAATTCCAATATCCTTCCTTGAGTGGAAAGGAAAAGGGTGAGTGACTGGGAGCTCTGGAATATGCCCAGGCTACCTTGTGATGTTTAACCTGAACTATCAGGAATTGTAGTAGGGATTTACAGCTCCCTGCCTCCCAAATTTCTGTTTCAGTGCAATCTTAATTCACCTCAGAAAGCATGACTTGCAAACAACCATCACTGATTTTGTGGCTCCAGGTGAAAAACAGTTAAGAATGGCTGCTGAAAAAGCTTCCAGAAGTGGTCAGCTGAGCAGCAACCTAATAAATAGCCCATGGGCCAAACCTGGCCTGCCCCCTGTTTTTGAAAATAAAGTTTTATTGGAACACAGCCATGTTCTTTCCTTTGCACATTGTCTATGGTTGCTTTTCCACTACAAAGGCTGAGTTGGATAGTTGTGACAGAGATCATACTGCCTGCAAAGCTTAAAATTTTACTATTTGGCCCTTTACAGCAAAAGTTTGTTAACTGAATTTGATTAAAAAAACAAAAACAAACCTGAGATTCAAAAAAAGTAAGTAACTTTTCCAAGGGCACAAAGCTAGCAGGTGATAATTTGAGGATTTAACCCAATGTCACTCCAGCCCTGGAGTCTGGACTCTTTCCACTATGGCTCAGTTTGAAGGTCCCTTGGCATTTGTACCAGCTCCAGCCCTTTCCATTAGTCCCCTTCTTCAGTTCCCTCAAGGGCTCAGGTGTCAACTCTGAAGCCCTGGGGTCTCATGGAATCCCGATTTACCATTCAAGTCCTTTGGTGACCTTCCTTCAAGTACAAGCTGCTCTACCAGTGCCCCCAGAGTAAGGGAATCTGGTGCTACCAAATGTTGACCTAGCCCCTTGATAACAGGTCTTGGATCTTGACCAAATTTTTTGCTAAATTTATCTCTAAAAGTACTTGTTTCTCTTCCTGAGTAAATGCCTTTTAGGAGCTGATTCCTGTTTTCAAACAGTTTTCCCCTATAATTTATATATATGCATATATACTTTGGATCACTCAAGCCTTTATCAAATCATCCTGTTAAGTAAGCTGATTTTCCAAAAAGCTACCCTCCCTGCTACTCTAATACTAAGGGAGGATGGTTTTTCATTACTCTCTCTTTGATCATCTCATGGGGTGTCAAAATATTTCCAGTAAATGTTAGAGACAAAACCAGTTTTATTTGAATTTTTGATTTATCAATTAATGTATTCATTCTCTTACTTCAACCATGAGATGGAAGGGGTGAATATTTTGCAGTCAAATAAAGATTGGATATCACTTGCACCCAAGTAGGTTCAATTCTTGGATGAGGGCACCTTTGAGTATTTTAATTTTCATGTGAGGTTTGGGGGACATGTATATGTCAAGGAGGTGACAAAATTGTAAGGATGTGGTTTTAGTGTTTTAGCATGTGTGCATGCACTTAAGCCATGAATAATTAATTGTTCTTTTTACATCTTTATATACATGGTGCTATCTTCCTAGGGTACATTTTAAGAAATGTTAATTGTGTGGAGATATAAGAAAATATCTCCAAATTCATTGTTCCTTGTTAGAATGAAATTGGAGGACAATACAGTGCAAATTGCCTACATGAACCTAGGCGGAAGATATTGGTCTATCTTTATTGTATCTTCAGGGTGAGGAGAAGAGTCGTAAAAGAAGAAAGTAGTTCCATGCCATTCCCTAAATGTGAGCTCAGACGTTAGGGGCCTGGGTTGGTTAAGTCCTAACCAGTTTTGTTTCCTCTTCCCAGTTGACTGTGAAAGGGGGTCCAGAAACAAGACACTTTTCTTCTCAGCTTCTAAGACTGAACTGAAGCTCCCCTTTCTCTGATGGCTTCTCCACCTGTGATGTGTGACCCTATAGGGTTTTACCATGTCTAGGTAAGTCATGCTCTGCTCATTCAGTCATTCCTTCCTTTAACTAAAATATGTTTAGTTCCATACTTGTGCCTGGCACTGTTTAGGAGCTGAGGGTATAACTGGGGAGCAAGATAGTCATGATCCTTGCACTCATGGAATTGGGAGAGAGTCATTAAATGAGTAACAACATGTGCTGTGAAAGGGGAAATGACACTACTTAGGGAACACATGATGGGGGTGGGGGATGTAACATGACCTGTGTGATCAGAAGGCCCTAGAGAATGAGTAGCTACTAACACCTATCTACAATGCCAGGGAGGATTGGGCCCCATGAGACTCATCTACCCTCCTACCTGGATCAATGTGGTGAATGTTGTAACTTGCCTCCTCTGCATTCATTTCAGTCCTTCCTCATTTTGTAGCAGCCATATGGTTTGGGTAACTCAACTCAAGTGGTAGCCTTCCTCTGCATAGTAATTAGTTCAGGGGTATCACATGTCCCAGGTTGATTGTATCTGATTGTATCTGATTGTATCTGAGATACAATCTGAGATTGTATCAGGGCTTTTGTTCCTAGGCCAGCAATAGTTGATGTTGTGGGAAGATATGAAGCCTTGGACTGCCACCCACTTACTACCACCAGACAAGCAGCCAGGGCTCCTTCCTCAGCTTATCCCCAGTTTACGTCCTAACATCACACTTTTATTGGTGCTTTATCCTTTTCTCTGTCCATCTAAGTCTTATTTAAGACCCATAAATGCTAGTTCAAAGCCCTTCCCTGAGGAAGTCTTCAACACTTTCTCACACCTACCCCCTGAAATTCCACCATGAATGTCACTTCATTTTCCACTTGAAATTCCCCATGAGGAGCTATTCCCACGGGTGGTGACTGGACACACCATTTTGCTGTGAGTTAGCGGATCACTGATCTACAGGCATTAGGTTCCAGATCACCTGGTGATGGGGTCTGGAGTCTCATCCAGGGACATGTGGAGATGGTCTCTTCTCCCAGGCAACATGCAGCAGTGTAAAAAAGTTAGAGGTATGGCCTAAATGGGGGTCAGGAGACCTGGGTTCCATTCTGGTTCCACTGTAATAATAACTCCAGCAATGAATACTTGGTTTAATGGGTATTCCCGTTCTTGATCCTCAAGTCAACTCTACGTGATAAAGGTTAAGCTGCACTTTATAGATGAAGACATTGGGGGTCCAAGATGCTGAGTGACTTTCCCAAGGCCCCAAGCTGGAAAGTGGCAGAAGTGACATGAGAAGCTAGTTCGTTCCCCCATCTCCTCTAGAGGCCTGCATTCTTTCCACTGCTACCTCCCACTACCACTTTGAATTTCAGCTTATCCCCAGTTTACATCCTAAACGTAAATTTGAATTTCAGTGTTCTTACCTCTCATAGGAGAAAAAGAATAATCTTTATTCACCAAGATTTAGGGAAGGATGAAGGGTGAATACAAATGTGAAAACACTTTGAGAAGTACAGAGCAGCCTGAGACATGGTAGGAGGCAAGAGGAAACGACAGGCAGTAGTGTTATGAGACAGGCTTTGAGAAAGCTTCCCACTTTTTGGTCTCATTTCTGCAAGAATGGCTAAAAGTGAGATTTCCCAAAACTTCTTTGGATGGCTTCTCAGTAAGGTAAGCTTCTTAGAAGGTGGTCTGCACACTAACGCCTATACATCAGTTACTGGCTAATTCACAGCAAAAGAGTAAGTCCAATCACCACGCAGGGAGATAATTCCTACAGCAAGCATCCCCACCAACCTACTTCTGGAGGTTGAGGAAGCTGGGGCAGGAAACCCTCTGCTTTCTGCCCTGGCCAAGTCTCAGGTATTTTTGGCACCAGAAGATTCAGCCCTAAGATGCTCTTCATAACAAGAACGGACAACAGCTCCTCCCTTTTGCCACCTGCCTTTCCTTTTGGCTGTCACCTCCTCCCCTTAACCTGTTCCCCCAAGGCTCATGTGTTGAGTGGAGGGAAGGAGCCAAATTAGGAGGAAGGGGCACCACCAGTACAGCCAGAATCAAGGAATGGTGACCTAGGAGGAAGACCTCAGCATAGCGGAGTGTGTAAAGCCCACCTCCTGCTTGCCAGCCTGGTCCCCGAGCACCTCTTCCAGTACTGGGTGCCTCTATCAGAATGCACCACCGTGTCATGCCACCCTCACCATGGAAACCAAGGATCAGAGCATCTCAAAGCTAGGAGGAATTTTAGGGACTACTTAGTCCAATCCCATTTTATAGATGAAGAGTCTGGTGCTCTGAAGGTTATAGTGATGTGTGCCAAGTGAGTGGAAGGCCAGGATTAGTAACAAGGGCTCCTAAGGCAGGGTTTCCCAAGCTGTGTCCCTGCTACCTTTGAGGTCTGTGGCAGTGCCTCAGTGTATTTCTTGGGAGCTTAGATGGAGGTCAAGGGGGTAGGGGATGGGGTGGAGGCTATGGAACTACCCCCCTCCATCAGGGAGGCTTCAATTCTATGTATCAGAGTTGTTTGTTTCTGTGTAAGTTTTCTTTTTATAAAAGGAAACCACTGCTTAAAAAAGAAAAAAACGACTTTGGAAACTACTGTTCTTTACCCAAATTCCCCTTAATTAATGTACTTGGAAAGGGCATTTACAATCAGTACCATGTAAGATGTACATGGAACAGAGGCTGACAAGCCTCCCAATTCACCAGCCACCTTTGCCAACACTCCAGTTCTAACCTGCAACATTCATATTCAAGTTCCCTACTGTTCTGCCCCTCACTCATCTCCGAAACGTTCCTCTTGTTTGTCTCTTCTGGTCTTTTTCAACACCTCCCCAATACCTCCTCACCCACTTTTTCTGATTTCCTTTTATAAACTGTCTCCTCAACCCTACTGTATCCTATAATCATCATAAAATTGTGCCCATTTTCCAGATGAGAATACTGAGGCTGCAAGAGTTGTTCCTTGGTCCCTCTGAATTTGGCCAGGGTGACTTTTGTTTGGTGCATTCACATCCTGGAAATGGAGTTCCCTACTCTTCTTGGGCATTTCCACTGCCTACCTTGGCCTCATGTACATGGAGAGGGAAGGAATCTCTGGGGAAGATTCATCTCAAATACACATTCATTGAGCACTATTTCTGAGGGTACAATATTAGGCCATTAGTTTGGTGTGATGAAATGAGCACTAGGTTTGGAAACTCAGTTTCTGTTCTACCTCCTAATAGCTGTGTAATCTTGCCTAAGACACTTGACCTCTCAGAGCCTAAGTTTTGGGGATAATAATATCTATCTCGTAGATTTGTGAGGAGATTGTATGAAAAATGCCTTGGATGTAATAGGAGCTTAATAAATGGTGATTATTATTATATTGTTTTGCATTTGATATCTTATTTAAAACATGACAATAATTTGCAAGTTAAGTTTCATTTTCTCTTACATACTTGTAAAGACCGAGGTTCAGAGGCTAAGAAATTTATCCACAATAATATAGCTACTAAGTCAAGCCCAGGAGTTCTTCTCCAGGGCCAGCACTGCTTTCACAGTCCTGCCCACTGGAGGCTCTATGACAATCTCAGATTATTCTTTGAATCACGGAAGGTATAGCACGCAGGCTGCCACAGCCTCCTGGAGCAGGGCGCACACTTGCAACTTGCACCCTGCTGACCCAGGTCATGTTTCAGGTGGGCACCTGGGTTTTGAAAAGTCCTGCCATGTCCTCCCCCATTTCACCATCCCCAAGTTCCCCTTCTGATCACCATTTCCGTTCAAGGAGTGATTTTTAAAGTAAGGGTCAGTTCCAGGACCAGGTGCTTCCTAAAAATGCAAACTTTTAACGAACTCACAGAGGGTGAGAGTCTGTTGATGCTGAACAGTTCAAGACACCAGGTGGCGGGGAGGAGAGGATAGCGAGGCCTGACTTACTATGTGGGCTTGGGCAGTTCTCTTCTGGCAGGCCTGGGGCACACATAAATGAACCAGCCACACCAAATCCTCAGAGGGAGACCTCATGGTGGTTCTCCATGAGTTTGATGACCAGAGAGATATTCCTAACTTATGGGGTTCCTGGTCCTTCCTGAGAGCCCTGAAGATAGTAACATCTTGAAAGACTAGAATACCTGTGACAGGCATAGAAAAGTCCTCAGTCCTTCATGGCATTAAATATAAAATGCCTACCTATGAGTTGGTTTTCTAAGTAGAGACTGATTGGGTTACTTGGGTTAAGAGGGAAAATTCAAATGTTCTCTGCCATCAGTATGATTGTTAAATGCATAATAATTTAAAATATTTTTCTAAATAATACATATTTATATTTACATAAATATAAAACATAGAAGTATATGTATAAATGTTATAATTATATTTGAATTAAAATATTTAAAATATATATTTCTAAGTAAATAAATATACACCTGTACCATCTCATTTTGTTCTTAAAATTACCCTCAAAATGAAGGAAGGCTGAGGTCCGAGGAAGATGACATTCTTCATCTACTTCATGGCAGAATCCAGATAAGGACACAGGTTTTCCTGATACCCAACACCACTTCTTTCAGCCCTTTGTTCCTTGGGACAGTCAGAAGGGCAGTCAACTCCCAAAGTCATTCCTTCTCCTCTCCCTCCAGTCTCTTCCTACCCTCTGTGAGTCAGAGACCACAGGATGTAAAAGCTTTTGCACAGCAAAGGAAACCATAAACAAGATCAAAATACAACCCTCAGAATGGGAGAAAATATTTGCAAATGAAGCAACTGACAAAGGATTAATCTCCAAAATTTACAAGCAGTTCATGCAGCTCAATAACAAAAAAACAAAGAACCCAATCCAAAAATGGGCGGAAGACCTAAATAGACATTTCTCCAAAGCAGATATACAGATTGCCAACAAACACATGAAAGAATGCTCAACATCATTAATCATTAGAGAAATGCAAATCAAAATTACAATGAGATATCATCTCACACCAGTCAGAATGGCCATCATCAAAAAATCTAGAAACAATAAATGCTGGAGAGGGTGTGGAGAAAAGGGAACACTCTTGCACTGCT